GTCCAGATTCTGGACTGAACAACCAGGCAAAATGCCACTTTTGTGTCAGGCCGTACTTTTCTCCCCTTCGCCCACGATCAGGCGTGCCTGTGCCCTAAAAAGTACGGCCTGATACTCAGGTTAGAAGTCCTGGGTTGGTTTTCGTAACCTTAACCACGACTGACATCCACGCATGATTTACCCAAAAATCGTTTGACCAAAAATCGTTTGCTATATACCCACGATGTGTTTGGCTATATACCAACGTCGATGAAATTGCCATGTAAATCATGCTATATAAGATACTGTCATTCTTTCAGCTGGATAAAACCATAAAAAAGCTCTAGATTTTCAGGATCTGAAGAATTTTTGCGTGATAAAATTTTAAAGGAATAAAAGTTGTATTTCTTTCTATTCTCCAATGGGAAAGTGGCAAAAAAGTCAACATAATAATGTCAATAATCAATGATACTTTACCTGTGCAAGGTTTCTTTCTTCCTATAATGAGAACAAAGTAGAACATAAAGTATGAGTTCGTGACAGCCTAGACCTAGGCCTTCTATTTTTATTTTTAATGTTCAGCGCTTTTCTACATGAGAAGACTTGACCAAACCTGCCAAAGCCAGTCGAGTAAAGGACTAGATCTAGGCTGAGTTCGCGATACTTTTCATACTAATATTTCACAGCAATTTCCCATGTTAATTAGCTATATAGCATGGTAGTTTTTTGTAATGCTTATCCATAAAACTTTTATTATTTCTCAACCAGGTAGAAAACTTTAGAGTTCAATGGGAAGTCCTGGGTTGGTATTCTTAACCTTATCCACGATTGACATCCAACGCATAATTTACACAAAAATCGTTTACCCAAAAATCGTTTGCTATATATATATCCACGATGTGTTTGGCTATATACCAACGTCGATGAAATTACCATGTAAATCATGCTTATATATGATACTGTTATTCTTTCAGCTGGATAAAACCATAAAAAAGCTCTAGATTTTCAGGATTTGAAGGATTTTTGTTTTTGGCATGATAAAATTTTAAAGGAATAAAGATTGTATTTCTTTTCTATTTTTTAACGGGAAAGTGTCATAATAATGTCAACATAATAATGTCAATAATGAATGATGTCTTATGCCTTTTGTTTTTCCTACAATGAAAACAAAGTAGAACATAAAGTATGAGTTCATGTTGCTTTACAAAACCAATATTTCACAGTAATCTCCCATGACATGTTAATTAGCTTTATATAGCACAGGATTCATGACATCCACGCATGATTTAATATCAGTAATATATATTAGGCCTACTTTGCTGAACGCTATACAGATGATCTTATTTGTAGGTGGCATGAGTGGGAAAGTCCTGCGATGGCATATTGTATTCTTACAACCTTTCAGTCTAAACGAAACCTCTACAGACGATCTTATATGGTATGCATGCAGTATTTAGTTGCATTTTGTCATTTGCAGAGTCAGCAGATTGAAAAAGTCAATTTCAGGATACATTATATTTAGTGACTGAAGATAAGTTGTAAGACAATCTCAGTCTTTTTGTTTTGTTAAGGTTTTTTACTCTGTTTGGTGATTTTTGGCAGTTACAGGACCATTGCATGCATAGACGACTTTTTGACTTCATATACTTCAAAGCATAGTTAATGTTCAAAGTGTATTTATAGAAGTGCTTCTTTCAAGCGACGAAATGTTATAGAATTTGTAAGATGTGAAATTGCAGTCGTTCAGAATCAGTAGTCAAAACTGAGTAAAGGTAAAATACAAAGGTTGAAACGTGACCCAAGATGACGTCACAGTGATGGTGCACTAGAATTTTACAGAGGATTAGGAAAAAGAAAGATGAAAAGCTGTTTTGGGAATTGACGCAATACTTTCAACAAAACAGCTGGTTTTGTAGGTCAAAAACTACTCGCTACTGAGGAATATAGCGTGCATCATTGTAGGCAATCCTTTTGAAAAGTGGGGTGGGGGGGGGGGGGGG